ACACACACACACACACACACACACACACTCACACACACAGAGTTAAATAATTCCCTGAAAGTACCACTTCAAATTGGAAAGGATAGGTGTAATTTTTATAACAAACATTAAACCTGAACCACACACAAAATTCTGAGATAGGCTTGGCAGAGGATAAAAAGATATGGAAAGCTGATAAAACCTCATCCTTAGAAGATTATAATCATCTTTGGGGAAAAATGTTTTATTTGTCTAGTATCCAACATATAAAGGTCTCATTCTGAAAAATTTTTTATCACTACAAGACAGACAAAACTTTTAAATGCCTTTTCCCATTAAAAACAAAAATTAGCAAACACCAAATACATATTTACAAAATGCATAAAATTAGGAAAGGAAATGTAGGGATTTGGTGGAAAAACAAAAATAAGGTTAAATATTCCATTTTCATGAAGTGCTGGTAAGGAAGCCAGGGAACTTAGGCTCACTCCCCAGTGATCTGTTCTTTCTGTCCCTATATTCCTTACTCTAAAGCTCTGTAGGAGTAACAGTGGCAACATGAGGTAAAACAGTGTGCCTCCTTTTGAATCAGGGGATGCCACAGGAAGACTAAAAGAATGACTGAGAAAACCATAGAACTTCCCTTAGTTTCAACTGACAGGAGGACCGCTGGTCCTGGGAGACATGACACTCCCTATCCATCCCTACTCTGGCAACTAATTAGAGAAAGAGCTTGTCTGGAAATACACAGACCTGTCATATTCAGAATTAACTTACTTTAAAATTCTCACCTCCATTCATAAAATCAAATAGCTAAGAAATATAGATTTGAGAATACCTACTTCTAGAAATATATTGGACTGGATAGTATGAAGGGACCTCCTGTTACAACCAAAGAACTATTTCTTACATTAAACATAAATTTTATTGCACCGTTGAGATTTAAGGAAATAAGAGAAATGTCCACAGGAAACTCCCCAACCCCGAACACACACACAGTATAAACAAACCGTGAGCTAAATTCAAAGCTTGGAACATCAAACACTGCAATTAAAAAAACCAAGTCTTGTTGTCCATATCAGTGTGAGAGCTATATCTGGGGCTCCTTTATAAGTAAGGATCCCCTGAAGAGAGTGGAAATGGTTCCAAGTCTTAGTGCCTCCTAGCTGAGGCAAACACAAATAGCCCTTGAAGGAAAGCATCCTTAATTTGAGTTCCCAGATTTTCACAGATTAAAGTCAATCAAATATAAACTCTCGATCAAAAATAAGCACGGAGCAAGAAAATAAACCATTAACATAAATCAACAGAAACACATGGCAGAATATAAAATATCAATATATGAAAAAAATTAACAAGAAAATATCAAACATGACAAGGAAAGTTTGGGGAGAAAAGCATACATCTAAAACTGAAAGATAAAAATATTGAAAGTAAAAAAGAGTTAAATGACAGATTAGTCACAGGTGAAGAGAATAAAATGAAAAACAACTCTTTATAAAGTACCCAGAATGCAGTCAGAATGACAAGGAGATAGAAAATATGAAAGAGATTAAGAAATACGAAAGAGAGAATGCTAAGTTCTAAAATATATCTATTGTAGTTGAGGTTCCAAAAAGGTGAAAAGAGACAACGGAGGAAAAACAATATTTGCAAAGATAACGGCTGATAATTTTCCAAAATAATAAATGAAAATTCAGATAGAGGAAATACAATGTAGTTTTTTGAACCATATGGAATGGTTTAATATTGTTAATTTCATATGGTTTAACCTATACCAAGCTAGATAAATAAATACAAAGAAACCAACACCTCAATTCACTGTAGTGAAATGCAGAACACCAAAGACACTATCTAAAAGCCTGAGAGAATAGAGGTATTATCACTTATAAAGAAATGACAATTAGGCTGCCATCAAACTTTTTAACAGCAAAAGTGGAACCCAAGTATCAGTGGAATAAAATATTAAAATATTGAGAGAAAAGAATTGCCAACCCAGAAATGTTTACCTAGCAAATCTTCACTCAAGACAAAAAGGCAAAAGTTATCTTCATATACACACAAACTAGGAAGCATTTACTAGCAACAGATGTAAACTAGAGGAACTTTTTAAATTATATATTCCAGAAGAGAGAAACAGAATCCTGGTAACAGGACTCATGTTCTGCTTGGTAAAAGGCCAAGATGGTCATATGGGACTAACAAAATGTAATGATATGCTATTTAGAGCCCTAAATATAGACTCAGAAAAGTTGAAAAATAAAAGGATGGAGAAAGACATAACAGGCAAATACTAAAAAGCTAAAGTAGTTATTTGAATATCAGACAAAGTAGACTTTAAGAAAAAAACGCATTATTAGGGAGGAAGAAAGTCATCAAATAATGTAAAATATTAAATTCATCAGGAAGATTAAACAATTATAAATTTATATAACCTTAATAAATTGCCTCAAAAAAGTACACGGTAAAAACTGACAGAATTATAGGGAGAAATTGACAAATCAAACATCATAATGAGAGATTTCAAAACACGTTACTCTATTATTGATAGATAAAGAAAAAAACCTCAATAAAAATCAAGTTTGAAAATAACAACTCAAAGCTTGACTTAGCTTCCAAGACCAATCCTTAAAGAACCCTGTACCCAACAACTAGATAAACACATTCTTCTCAAGTACACAAGGAAGAATTACAAAAAATTGATGACATACTAAGTCATAAAATAAAGTTCAAGGAATTAGTGCCATAAAAACATATTTTCTAGACACAATACAATTAAATTAGATGATAAGAGCTGAAGAATCAATGAAATTACCTATTTTAAAACACCTCATAACAACTCATGGGTCAATGAAAAATCATAAAGGAAATTAAGATACTTAGGACTCAACGATAATGAAAATAATACATAACAACTGTGTAAAATTCAAAACAGTAGTGAGAACTTTAGCATTTAAATGTATCAGAAAATCTAAAAAGGTGAATATTTAACTCATTGAGTTTCAGCCTAAGTATAGGCAAGGGCAGAGAGGAAGGGAGGGATGAGCTGAACAAAATCTAAATAGAGTAAAGTAAAGGAGATAATAAAGAGCAGAAATTAATGAACAAGGACAGAAAGCTATAATATAGAGAATCTTAAAAACCCCAAAAATTGATTCTTTGAAAATAATAGGGAGATTGTGAAACTTGCCCAAGGTTACAGAGCTAATACATGAAGGAGCCAGGATTTAAATCTAGGCAGTCTATCCACAGTCCAGTTTCTTAACTGCTATGCTCTACTACCCCTCAAAATGCCAAGTATAACAGAAAAAACTGCTATATTTGACTACATTAGTCTTAATGACCTCCATGCATCATAAACACCATAAGGCAAACACAACACATAACTGAGAGAAGATTAATGTTCAGAATAAATAAAACTCCTACAAATCAATAAGAAAAAGACAATAACCCAATAGACAAATGGGCAAAAGACACGAAAAAGCATTTCCCAGAAGAGAAAACATAAATAGGCAATAACCATATAAGAAGATGCTTCATCTCATAAGTAATCTGGGAAATGCAAAATAAAAATACAATGTGATGACTTCTTATGTGAGCCACATTGACAAAAATTAGGAAGTCTGATAATACCAAATGTTGGCAAAGATATAGAGCTATGGAAATTCTGACATACCGCTAGGGGAATGTAAATTGATTCAACTCTCTGGAGAAATAACTGGGTACTATCTTGTATGAACAATCATATATCCTATGACTTGGGAATTCCATTCCTAAATATATATCCTAGAAAAACTCTTGAATACATAAATCCTGAAACACACACAAGGATGTCAATAAAAGCAAAAAACTGCAAACACCCAATGTTCATCAACAGAAAAATGGAAAAACAAATTGTGTTATATTCACAATATACAATTCACAATACATAGCAATGAAAATAAATTACCTGTAATTGTACACAACAAGGATGATACTTTAAAATATAATATCTATTGGAAAAGGGAATTTACAGTATGATTCTTTTTTTAGGTAGATAGGCAGGCAGGCAGATAGATTATAAAAGAGTAGAACAACAAAGTATATGTTTACATATACGAAATCTTGTGTAAACCTCATTTTTGTCTTTCTAATTTTCATTTCTTATTCAAGTATTACCTTAACAAGAAACATGACAACCAATGGCAGTCTTACCTGCAGAAACACTGAGGGAGTTCTCCTTGGCCATATAAAGGAAACAAAAACGGAGTGTTGCCATACCGACCAAGACACTGAAGAAAGTTTTTGGTAGCTTTGAGACCATCTATGGTACTGCTGGTTGTCTCTGATGTCATTGCAATTGAATGCAGGACAAAATATTGAAGGTTGGGGGTTAATTTTTGAGTTTTTAAATATTCAGAAAATGTAATCTCCTCATAGTCTATAAAAGAAAAATGAAAATTTATCAATTAAAATCAGAACCACATTTCAGTTTAAAACCACTGCAAAAAAACGAGATCATGTCTGTTTGGAACACTTGGCAAAAGACAGAGATGGCGTGCTATTACATTTTGCACATAGACTGTTGATTTTTGGGGTTAAGAAAACCTAGAAATCACACTATACTAATTGGATTGATAGCACAATTTTTAAGCTTTAAATGATGAAGCTTTGTTTAGTATTTTCCAAATTTAAAAAGTAGAAAAGCATTAAATAATTCATTAACCATCACAATAGTTTTCCATGGTTGGCAATAATCTTACTTTATTATAATTAAAACTGCAGAATAATGCCAAGAACTGTATTTTGAAATATTAAATAAATATGACCAACGGCAATTTTTTGGTGGAAACAACGATAGAGTAATACTTGATTTTTAAAAAAAATGTATATTTCTTACTAAAACTAGGAATGATGAACTATGGCTAAAATGTAATGCAACTAATTTCTCTGTGGCTAGTGGAATCAGTCCTACTGCCTTATAATCACACCACAAAACATAAGGGACCCTTAAAAACTATTTACAGTAATACCTTGGTTTGAGAGCATAATTCTTTCTGGAAACAAACTACTCATATTGCAAGGCATCGCTTGTTTACCATGTTAAAATGTATAAGAAATGTTTGCTCGTCTTGTGGAACACCCACAAATCAAGTTACTTGCAATCCAAGGTTTTACTGTATGTAAATCAAGAACAGAAAAAAAGGTAAGTGGATTGTTAGTTTTAGGAAATACAATTCCATGACAAATGACAAAAAAATTTATATAAACAAATAAAAATTATAAAAATTTACTGAGAGAATATAAGTTTACACCACTGTGGGGAACAATTTGGCAGTATCTAATGGGCTTGAAGCTTTATGAGCAAAAGCTAGATTTTTAATAATAAATTCAGTAAAAAAAAAAGAAAATACTGCTGTATTTCTCATTGTAACTTTATAAATGAATCATGAATAGTGTATTCCTATTTTGGATAATTTTTCCACCCAATGCCCTTAAAGTATAAAGCTCTGATACTCAAGTGGTGTATTCAAATTTCAACAAACTGTGAAGTAACTGGCTCTAGATCACACGGTGAGATGGGTCAAAGCCCAGACTAGAAACCATCTCTTCTCCTAATCCAAGTGGTTTCCCCCATACCATCTAGCCTCTTTTTTTAATCAATCAAAACAAATAATTCAATATTCCAAACAAAAGTAATTCTGTAAAAATGAAAAAATATAGATTTTTTTTATTACTGATGAAAAGATTAATGGAACAATGAAAAAATAGTGCCCCTTCTTACCCGCAATTTTACTTTCCATGGTTTCAGTCACCTGTGGTCAACCACAGTCCAAAAATATTAAATGAAAAATTCCAGAAATAAACAATTCATAAGTTTTAAATTGCATGCTGTTTTGAGTAGCGTGATAGTCTTGTGCTGTCCTGACCTGGACACGAATCATCCTTTTGTCCAGCATATTAACACTGTATACATTACCTGACAGTTGGTCACTTAGTATCCATCTTGGTTATCAGGTTGACTGTCACAGTATCACAGTCCTTGTGTTCAAGTAACCCTTATTATATTTAATAATGGCCCCAAAGCACAAGAGTAGTGATGCTGGCAATTTGAATATGCCAGAGAAGCTGCAAAGCATATATATGTATAAGAAAAAAACTAGTGGTTTATAGAGTTCGGTACTATCTGCAGTCTCAGGCATCCACTGGGGACCTTGGAATGTATCCCCCATGAATGAGGGGAGACTACTGTATCATCTAAGAAAAACCAGTTGACAGTGTATTTAATTAAGAATAAAAATTAACACCCAGCACAGTATTTCTGCAACAATAAAAATGTTCTATAGCTGCGCTGTAGCCACAATAGCCACCAGTCACTTGGAATGTGGCCAGTGCAATTGAGGAACTAAATTTTAAATTTTATTTAACTTTAAATAATTTAAGTTTATAAATAGCTACATGGTGCTTAATGGCTACCCTACTGTATGGTGCAAGTAAGAATGTATTTTAAAAGGGCAATGAGTGGTTCACTACATCAGAGCCAGCATATTAAAATACTAAGAAAGCCCAAATAATTGGAAAACACAATAACATAAGAAGAAATACCTTTATATTCATCAAGATGTTCCTCAAACTCCATACAAAAGGTAAGAAACTTCATTAGCATTCGCTTTTCTACCATAGTAAGTTGTTTGCTATTAAAGACATCTGCTCTGGAACAAGGAACCTGAAACACATGACTTAAAGTTAAGAAACTGCTTCCTATTGATAAACTAGTATTCCAAATTATATGTTTTTCCTTGAAATATAACAAGATTATTATTTCCATTATAGTCAGGCTGTTTCACATCACCTTCCATCAGTATTAATGGCATCTTTGTTGACTTCAGAGCTAATTAATTTATGAGGTCTCTTACTTAATTCTGCCAAGTTTCCCCTTATGCCATTCATTAAAAAGCCAATGGCATGTCACCCCTAATTTGGAACAAGTGACAGCTCAAATCTAGCAATACTGCCTGAAATTAACACATTCTCAACCCCAACATCAAGCTGCAGAATAAGTCATGAGAAAATTAACACTAGACATTTCAATTGTGCAATCCCTTACTATTTACATTTGTAAATCACCATGCAGGGTTGAACTTTTCTGCTTTACCAGGAATATAACAATCATATTTGCTTATCATTCCAAAACAAACCATAATAACTTAAGCTCATACCCAGTTACAAATAGTACCTGTTCCACTCTTCCTTCTCGAAATGCAAGAATCCTAGTAATATTTTTGAACTCTGCATATCGACTAACATTAGACTTGATGAGAAGATCAATTAGCAATCCTCGAGAATACAGCACCTGTACAAAGAAAATATTTTAGAGGACGAAATAAAAGGTGAAAATAGTGGAAAAATTGATAAACACTAAAATGAAGATATATAATTTTGCTTTATTTTGAATTATTTGCAAAAAGCATTATACCTATTAATATTATAATACATATCGTAATTTATTAATGTCTTACAATTGATTATCTGAACTCAAAATCCAAAAAACTCTGGAATCCAAACTTTTTTCATAGCTGATTGGGCAACAAAATCTGACCCAAAGTGATGTAAGGCTCTTCTGTCTTTGTCCCACTTAATGTGAAAATTCATACATCTGACTGCAGAAATATAAATACGCTAAATTACAGAGCTCCTCCTTGGACCCTGCTGAGAATGTTACATCATATATAGCATATCAGCATTATGTACTTTCTCAAATATATATTTTTTAATCTGAATAACAGAACACGCCAGGCCCCAAGGAGTTTAAATAAGGAATTGTAGCCTTAAATAAGGCTGGTTGGTTATTAAGAAACCAGCCCACTAGACTTCCTCATCAACCAAAAAAGAAAAAGACTGGCTGTGCATTTCCACTGAGAGTATAATTATAAGGTGCCTCTGTAATCTTAGCAGTCTAGATTTACCTGAGCTATGTCTTTCTCAAGAAGTGAGGATGACGGTTATTGCCAGCGTTCATGTAAGGGGCTGATTTAACCTTTCAACATCTCTCATGACCAGCATCAGAGAGACAAAAAAAATTTCAATGGTATTATTTAGCATGTTTTGAATTTAACTATATGGTTCAATGTAACAGATTTGGCTAATTTTCTATACTGAGTTACCTTTAAGTGACTCTAACTCAATAAATGTAAAAAATGTAAATGCTACATCGGTAATAAGGGGAGAAAAAGAAAATGAAAAAATTAGCTTTACTTCAAAGAAAAAGGAAATTTCAAAACTTAATTTCAACCATTGGTCTGAGTATCTAAGAAGTACATGAAGACTTTCTGTAAATCAATTACTTATCAGTTAGGTGAATTTTTATAAACTATTATATTAGTCCAGAACAAACAAAATTGGCATTGCTTTGTTTTTGAAATGAATCCAAGTACACTGACAAAATTATGGCATTTTACTTCATTACTTTCAGCCTAATAGACTATATAGCTAATATAGCCCACGTTTTAAAAAATATATTGCCAAGTTTTAAGTCTATACTTATAATAAAAAAACAGATCCTCAAATGCCTCACTTGTTTAAAAACACAAATATTCGAGATTCAATGATCCCTCAGTGGTCATTTCAAAAATATTAATATATCAAACATAAAATATATTTACACTTAATGAGACCTAGTAAAGCTTAAGATTTAATGCCAGTTTAAAAAATAATGCAGTCAAGATATCACTTAAGAGTGAAAACATATTTCAATTAAAACTATACTAAACTTTTGTCTGGAGCTTAGAAATAACGAATATGAACCATGTTTAAACTTAAGCCTTTTTTTCACCAATCTCTAAAGTGATCTGCCACAGAAATTTCACAGTGGTGAGGCTAAAGAATACTTCAATTTGATTAAGACACTGGGGGTTAGATTTAATAATTAACTATTTTTGCTTCACTTACCATGTTGTTTCCATACTTATTAAAGATATGGGGTTTTTTTCTTTTTTTCAGATTTTATTGGGGAGTTGAGGGAGGGGAAGAGCATTAGGGAATCGGGGAAGGGGAACTGACAACTTGTTGTCCTTTTGTTCTTCAGTCTAGTTGTGGAGGACATCACTTCACTGGCCCATGTTGGTATTTTCATTGTGCTCTTCCTGGGTGAGGCAGATCGGTCGCTGGCCATTGGATAGCCGCTCATGGCGGCTCCTGGCAGCTCACGCTGGCTGTCAGCCACTCACAGTAGTTTACGGGAGCCCACTGCAGCTCCACTGCAGCCTACGCTGTCGCCAGTGACTCATGGTGGCCCAGCTCCAGGTCGAGCTGTTGTTCAGCATCTTAGCTGTAGAGGGCAGTATCACTGGCCCTCATGTGGGATCCGAACCGGGGCCCTGCTGCTCAGAGCTGTCATCCCAAGCCAGCTCTTAACCAATGTGCCACTCGGCCGGCCCAGGTATGGGCTTTGTTACGAATGAGTTTTAATTCTAAGAACTTCATCTTTGGTCATCTTCTCTATTAGTCTAAGCAGCAAAGCATTAGAAAGTATTTTATTTAACTAACCTACTCTGAACTATGAGATTACTTTTTAAAAGGCTGTACACATGGATGTGTTTAGTAAAAATATAAAGCACCACTGTACATGATGACTATGAGACAGAATGCATATAGAAATGTCAAGTGGCTTGGAGATATCAAACTGAACTTTAGGAAAAAGGCTTGTGATAGGTATTTAACAATCATCCTAAACTTAGATGTAAAACTTCAATTATTAGAACAGATGGGATTTCCAACGAATGAATGATTGCCCCAATATCATGGAATCCAATGTTTTCCAAAGAGTAGGTACTCAATAAATGTTCATTAAATGACTAGCATTAAAAAAATGATAATAAGCCTCTTCTACTGCTATGGTTACACATTCTTTAGCTACTCCTGCTTTTAAAGGATGAATACAGTAAATTATTATTGGTTACTTTTTAAAGGCATGGACCCCTGAAAACTATGTAGAAGAAAGTACAAGTTCCTTGACCCCTGTAGACATGTCTGTTTTTAATTTACCCTAAGAGAACCACTATTATTAACCATTTGAACTCGTAAAGAATACCCAGAAATCTCCTTCAGCATCTGCTCAAATGTCTCAGCATCCAATTAAACTATCTCCCCCTTCACCACGACCAGCATTCACTTTCTTATACAAGTGAATAGTTTCCTACACTAATTCCAAAAATTGAAAAAGCAACATCTTCTACCATTTTCCTTGCAAGATTTATACCGTATTTCAGTTACCCCAAGGGTTAGAGACTTTTCTGAACTAGTCTTGATTCTTAATCATTACTGACATCATCATTTAAGTTAGGCATTCCAAATTCCAAGAAACTAATTCAAAATGAAATTTCAGACAAAACTTATTTGTTACTTGCCATCTAGAGTTGTGTTTGTGTGTGTGTGTGTGTGTGTGTGTGTGTGTATTTTAATTAAAATTTATTGGGGTGACAATGGTTAGTAAAATTACATAGGTTTCAAGTTTTTAAACTTATTTCTTGCTCGTGAGAACAACAGGTGGACTAGTAATGAGCTATGATTAAACTTCCACCCAGAAATCAATATCCAAGGTAATAAGGAAAGAAAATGGAGAAGGTGGAAAAGATAGCACAGAAAGAGTGGGACCAAGGAGGTAGCCAGGACAGAATCAGACACAGAGAGCTATGTGATAGAAACAGTAGGTAGTAAAACAATATTCATATTTTCAGGCATAAAGTTCAAAGACAGCAGCAGTATGAGGATATGGGATTATATCAGCAAAATGTGACAAACATGCAATGAGTCCCTCTGTTTACTCCGTAACTTGGAACTTGAAGAGGGCACATTAAACTGAAAAGCCTCGTTTTGTGGGTAGTCTGATGTTATTAACTACCCTCTCCTACTTATTTTCAATTTCACATTGTTTGCTCTCAACTTATGGGACTTGGTCTCTGTTTCTTCATACACTTTCAGCCAGCCCTATATCTTAACTCTTTAAGGCCATTATATTTTATCTTACTGGTTTTCTATTCCTTTGCATTAAATTAGCCTTGCTTCCTGTAAACCCAATGCAATACTGTACCCTCCTAAGATTCAGGGATCTTCTCTAAAGTCACACCAACCTAACATTAGAGTTAAGGATGGAAACATAAGCGAGGAAAAAAAGCATTCTTCCCAGCCTCCCTGCCACCACTTAAACTACCCTCTGAAGACCTCATACCTGAACAGATCGTTTTCAAAAATGCATTGCTTTATTCAGAATGTTATCGTAGAGATGTTAAAATAGTTACTATATATAAAAGCTCAAAAGAAGTTTGTTTAATAGACTGACTATAAATAACATGGAACTGTAATTAGGATCATTAGAATTTTTCTCATGATGGAATTCATAGTGTCCATGCAGTAGGGGAATCTTACGACGGACTTTGTGTTCCAGTACAAAAGTACCCTTGCGATATAGTACTGAGCATTTTAATGTGATTTTAAACCTATATTTAAAGATATTTATCTGAACTAAAAACTTCTGATTACTACCTCTTTATAAAACAAATGTTCTACACTTCAGAGAATAAAACTATGAAAATAGAGTTTATGGGCTCAGATGCTATTCTCAATCAATTGAAAATTAGTATTGTTCTATAAGATGGGCAAAATTGGTACTTACCTTTGATACCAAATCGATATTAAATTTCCTGCCTTCTTTAATAATCTGTGAGTAAGTAATTCTATTTTTCTTTGGCTGTTCTGCAATGTCTTCTGCTGTAGGCACATTTTCACTTGTTGCCTCTTCTGAAGTTGACGACATACAAGTTTTATCATCACAATGGTTTTCTTTGTCCCCTGTTGCGTCAACATAATTTTCTTCTATGGCATGCTCTGGATCACTGCTTGGAGTTTGTCCTGTGGGCATTTCACAGCTCACAGTGCTTAATGACTCATCTTCTGCAGGCAGGCAGGCAGAATCCGCAGCTTCTGTGGAGTTCGCAGATGTCACAGAGGCGTGATTCTTCTGCAGCGCACCAACCTCTTCAATATCATCATGCGAATCCTGACTAATGAGAAATTATAATAATAATCAACACCATGCTTTTGACAATTGTACTTGGCTATATTTTTATCTTTTAACTTTTAATGGCAATTTTTCTTTCTTTACCCTATTTATCTTATCAAGTTCACTGTGTGTTTTGCCTTCTGAGAACCACACATTAAACAATCATCTGTTAAGATTTCAATACAATATGAAACATAATTAAGATTTGAAAAATAAAGAAAGATTTCAGAGTTTAGCAGGCTATGTCACGTCACATGAGAATTTGAGGCAGGCAAGGTAATTGTATTTTACAAACAAATCAACACAGTGCTTATAAGCACAGCCTTCAGAATAAACAAATCAAGGTTCAAACCCTGACCTATGACTAGATAACTCTGTGAACTAGTTATTTATCCTCTCTGACCTAAATTATCCACCTGTAACATAGGACCATTATTCCGGTATAACATAGGTGGCCAATAGCACATACCTCACAAGGTTGTTCTGAGGACTAAATGAGGTATCATACCACATGCAAAGAACCTGGCACTGTGCCTGGCACATAGTAAATTCTCAAAAGTGGTACTTATCAAAGATTATTATTGGTAGTGGTGGTGTGACAGAGTTAGAAAAAAAGTATCTGAAAGTTTAAGTTGGCTTATCACAGTGTAATATCTATAGAATATCTCTATATTCTTTTCTGCTGTATTTTGTTTTAGTATCAGCGTCTATTATTCTACTGGAAGCCCCACTTCCAAGTTCCTACTGGAGTTAACATTCTTAGGACATTATTGCCTTGACTGATACAACAGGCTCCTGTTCAGTCGGCCGGCATCAATGTATTTCTCCATGATGTTTTATCCTCCACAGAACTACATTTTCACTGAGTTGCCCTACCACTCAACACTGCTCAACAATAAAACTGTCTTGTACATGACAGGCTATGGGATGTAAACATCTGCTAACTGATTGCTCAAGAACTAACAGTAGCTCTTCCTTACATCAAATCGAAATCCTACACCATAAAAATCTTCTTCTTCCTGTCTGTAAACCAAATCACCTTCTGTATCTACTATCATCTGGTCTGATCTCTCCTACTTTCCAACATGGCATCTCTAACTCCTAATTTACAAACTCTAATCTCCATATTTTGGCCCATATCATTTGTTCTTTCTGGGTTATTCTTTCAACTCCCCATAATATCACAATTCCCCATTCCCAAACAATGGCACACGTCAACAATCTCTAAGAAAAACTTTAAATTGCACTTCAAAGAAGTGTTCCCCATCCCAACCACACTCATTCTATTATTCCATGCCCCCAATACACACATGAAGTTTACCTTGCATTTATTTATCAGTTCCTTTTAAACAGTCATTTGGTTGTCCAGTATATACTTTATCTTCTGAATTATACTTTAATTCTCTTGAGAGAAGACCCTAACATCTCTTCATGTGTGCTCCTCACAATATCTACCATATTGCTCTATAACTGTGGTATCTAATAAAACACTCGATGAATAAGTGGTTTGTACATGGCAATACACATATACAGAGGGTGCCAAAAAATGTATACACATGACTTGTATTCATCTTTTGCTATTGGTATATATTGAGTATCACAATTTTAATACACTGTTTTCCTTTCTTAAAATGTGTATACATTTTTTGGCACCCTCTGTATTTCCATCCTTTAACTATGAAACAACTTATTTGTAGTAAACACAAAAAAATTAGGCCTGGAAAAAAAATCAATAAATTGTAAATTCAAAAGTCTGGGTGCAGTAGAAAAAAAGTGCCTTATTAAATAAATTGGCACAATAAACACTGCAATAAAAAGGGTACCATGAAAGAATAAAATAACTTATTTTAAATGTCAAGAAATAAGATGCCATGATGTTTACTGTTATAATCTAGTAATTTTTTCTTTCTTTTTTTATTAGTTTCAGGTGTACAAAACAATGCAATAGTTGTATGTTTCACCCCTCACAATGTGACAACCCCCTCCCCCCAATTCACTCCCCCCCAGATATCATACATATCTATTAAAATTCCATTGACTCCACTCCCCACACTATACGCCACATCTCGTGACTATATATTTATATAAAATTATAGCTGACATACAATATTATTCAACATCTAGTAATTTTAATTAAATATAATGAAAAAGGGACTTGACATCATTAGTGCTACAATACTTTTCAGATCTAGGGAACTACTGTCAGAAAGTTCTATTCCTAAATGCATTACTTAGTGAATATTAGGCAAGTCACAATCTCTCAGATTCCCTATCTATAAAATAGAGACCATTCCATCTGCCTTACATGAAGCTGTTGTAAGATAAATGAGCTAACATATATGAAAAGTATTTTATAAACTCTAAAAGGTTACTCCAATGTAAAACATTAATCAAATATAAGATAATGTTAAACTTCCCACTGTTAACAGGCAACTCAAAACATGTGTACCTAGGTTTTCTGAGAGCACATGTTGAAAGCTCTTTGGCCACAAAACCACGCAATAGCACCATTGCTATTAGCAACATTAAAAATGAAGAGCGATGATATGAAATGTGATTTATTTTCTACAGAATTGTCCACACTCTGTATTCACTTTCATTATTTTGAAAACCAATAAACCAAGGAGTATTCCATGAGGGATCTAAGATGTTAACTTTCAGCAAAAGTTCCACGCCTAAAGATTAAACTAAGAAATGACAGGATAATTATTACAATTGCACTTTACAGATAAGACAGAATATGGCAATTTCTCTTATTACAGACCATGAGGAGGACACTGTGAAAATTGAGCACAGCAATTGATCTAGTCAGTGGCTCTCTACTGCATTGAGAGAAAGGCGGCATTGTAGAGTGAATGAAATACACTAACCAGTGCCACTAACCAGTGCTGGACAATCTGGAAGATATAAGTCAAAATACTTAAATAAAGGTTTGCATGTAAGGAAATAAATTATACTTTGTGAATTTGTTCAACATCCATAAGCTATTAAGTTTCACTGTTCTCAGCATCATAATTTGGTGAACTACGGAAAACATATGCATTAAAAACACAGTAGTGTTCTTACTTGCCATTAACAACAATCATAATATTTTTGGAGTTCTGCCAAGGTTGAGTTTAATACCTAACTAGAAGGTATAAAGACACCAGAAAGCTCCCAAAACTTCACTTAATTCCTCAGTAAGCAAAATTCTGTTCATCAAAAAGGACTTATCTTTCCTCTAATTTAAAACTTTATAGTGTGGTAAAAATAAATTCTTGAAAAAGATAATTCAAACTTTTGAAGCAAACTTCAGCATAAAATAACTCAGCTTTATTAATTTTAAAGTATTTGGAAAGTATAAAAACACATTTGCCAGTTAAAAATTAATGTTGCTGGATTATAAGCTCTCAAAGGAACCTTGGAGTACTAAAATGCTGCTATGATTTTAACATATGAAGGTGAAAATCTGCATCATTAGCTCTTTATAAAAATGTTCAATATTAAAACAGATTCCACAAATGAAATTTAATGTCATTTATATTGCTAATTTGAATTTTAAGGGCTATTTACAATACAGTATAACAATATTTTTTAGATAATTTTACCTAAGTGCAACTGCTGAATACTGCTTTGTATAATGCATTTTTTTATTAATTGCTAAAATTTATAAATAACCCTGAGAATTTGGGGGTATAAATTCTGATATTGTTTAGTACTGCTAATCAATTAAATGCAGTAACAAAAGAACACCTCAAAGTGAGCGTGTGTCTTATTAATGCCTTGTAACATTCACCCATTTAGATAAGTCAAATGAAAAATTGCCAACCAGCTAATTTATTAAGCACAGGTGTTCACTATTTATTTTTCAGCCGTTTGCACCTTTTACCCCAGTACGGCTTGTTGCAGAAATTGTATTCTTTTAACTCTGATGTATGCACTTTTGTTGTAAGGACAGTCATTTCTGATTTGCACAGTATATGTTATACTGCTACCCAGCTGTTTATTCCTGTAAAAAAATGTTTATGGTTACTTGTAAGAGTTATAAAAATCACACTATCCAAAAGGTGTTTTTCCAGAAAATAGTAATATAAAAAAACACTGTAATCAATTTTGAATTTCTGAAATATAATATATTGGTAGACGTATTTCCCTACTTGTTACCAACTTAAAATGTTAACACACGCTGTAGAATGTAGCTGAAATAGCTACGTCTTGTCTTGTCACCTTTGTCGAAGAACAAAATTTCATAAGGTGGTGTACAGCAGGTACTGTTCGTTGCCTACTCAAAAATCATGACCCTCTTCCTCCCTTACATAAGAGATGCAATTTGTTACAATATCAGGCAGAAAGTGCTCAGAACTAGGGTTCTGATAATAGCTGATCAAAACCAATTATGGTAATTTTACTATTTGCTAGTGATTGGTTTTAGAGTGAGCAGGTTATCTAGTTTTAGCCAATGAGACGAGAGAGTCTACTGGGGCTCTTGGTAAAAAATCTCTAGTCTAACAATAAGAGAACCCATGTTAGAAAAAACTCTCCTACATCCTTTCATGTTTAGAGATTTTTGCTTGCAAACTTCTGTTTGGAATTGTGGTAACCATCTTACAACTCTGGAAAGAAAACTAATAAAAGTAGTGCAGAGCAGCTACCCCACAGAGCTTTGATGTGATTAAGATGCTCAATTAACAAATTCTGCAATGACTGACATAGCTTCCTCTAAATTATTAAAATTGCAGAATTTTAGATTACTATTAAAATAACATGTTCATTTTGGTATTTATCCACTAGAATTGGGTCATCTGCAAATTTAAGAAGCAAGTTTTCATCCTGATTTAACATACCATGCCAGAAAATTATAAAAATAATGTTCAATATTATGCAAAAAAGGGACAGAAAAAGCACAAGTTCTTGCCAATATTTTAGAAACATAAAATCTCTTCTCACTAAAGAAACTACATGGCATGAAGTTAACAGGTAACAGTTTTTTACCTAAGAATTGATTGGGTTTGTTTGACTTAA